AGGATAACGCAGTCTCATCAAATTATGAAGACAGACGCAGGCCTCGACGATCAGTCGTATGGTGTCAGGTTCATGCTGCATGGTGGTCAGGAGAATCTGCCAACGTTGGGCAAGGATGCCAAACGTAGTCCCCGAAGTTTTCCGCGGAAATCGCGGAACGGGAGGAGAAAGCGGAAAACTCAGTCTTGAAAAAAGATGTAAAAGTTAACGGACTAGGAGCCTAGGACACACTGTGCGATTTTCTACGCTGGCCACTTGCGATCAATAAATACGGTGCCGGGTCCGCGCGGTGTGCGCGGGTCGGGCGGGCGCGCGTCTCACCGCAGCGTATTCAATATCCCATACGCCCGGCTGATCGCTCGCATTCAACGTGTTCAACCGGTTTTTCATCTCTTGCATACAAATACACCAGCGCGCCCAACAATGAACAATCGCGTTCGAATGCGATTGACATTTATAAAGCAGAAAACTTGAGGCACTAGCCAAAGGCGTTCTCCACAACGTGACGCCCTCTAGATATCCTGTAGTTGTAGATCCTATGCTCTTTGGTCATCTTGCGCATCGAGTAAGGCTTCATCATGTTGGTCCGCATCGCAAACGCATCATCAGCCAGGAAAAAATATGGCATGTCCCTGTCGTCATTTGGTAGGTGGTCTGCTGGAGGACAAATGGTCCCATCTACTAGGCACTCATTCAGCTCTGAATCATTGAAGATCTGTGCATCTGACATGTGTCCGTGCCCTCCAACATCTATCCAGAGGAACTTATAGTCCGCATCGACGAGGCCCATTAGAACAATGGAAAAGAAACCTTTATAGTTGTGATAAAGGCTTCCACCGTTCGCTGGCTTTCTGCAGGCAACATGTTTTCCATCAAGGGCTCCACAGCCATGAGGGACGTTCCATCTACGTGCAAACATTTCAGCAACGGCACGCCCTTCTTCAGGGGAGATTGGACAGCTGATGATTTCCTCCTTGTACTCATCTACGATGGCCTGGCAGACTTCTCGTACTAGGACAGACATGGTGTTATGAGGAACTCTGAAGTCAAACTTCATACTGGCGTACTTGTCACCGGATGTTAGGTGGCGCATAGTAAATGCAATCTTCAATCCTGGTTCGATAGCCTTCCTATACAATG